CTTAAGAACTTAGTGATGCTTTTTTAGGAAACAAGAGAATTTCGGCACTTATCTAAAGAGTTACATGGGAAGACTAGAGAGAAGTGCGTAAGTTCAAAGCAATAGCGTCCCGTAACTTTACTTTTTACCCATGCACCAACTTTGATTTCATAGTCATAGTTGCACAACTGCCCTCCCCAAGGTGCAATTTACTTCGATGCATTTTCGAAACATTTAAACAAAGTTTTTTTTTTCGATGCATCTTGTCTGACTGCAAAAAGCGCGCGTCATTTTATGTAAAATAGCAAAAGGAATAGAATGATGAGAGCTAGAGCTTTTTGCAATCAGAAATGATGCGTCGCAAAAATGGCGTTGGATTTTTTGTAAATCACACCAAGCCTAAGTAAATTCCATTTTAAGCATCTCTGGAGATCCATACATTTTCCTGAAGGCTATTGATCTATTTTAGGGTTGTCTAAAGTTCCCTAATTTATCTGGAGTCAAATGCAAAAGTTCTCTTTTAAAGCTCAGAATTGTTAAAGATAGTTAAGAAAAAAAAAATATCTACGTGCTTTAGACAATTTCAAAGAGCTCATTAGTCGTATTCTAAACAGTTAAGGGAACTTCAAACAAACTCTTAAAAGATAAGTGGTGTTCTAAAAAACGATGATTAGAGATCTTTAGACAAATGTAGAGAATTTCAGACAAGTTCCGAGACGAACTTCAGACATGTTCTGTGTCGAACTTCACAAATGTTCAGAGAAGAACTTCAGACAAGTTCAGAGAAAAACTTCAGACATGTTCAGAGAAGAACTTCAGTCAAGTTCAGAGAAGATCTTCAGACAAGTTCAGAGAAGAACTTCTGTCAACTTTAGACAAGTTCAGAGACGAACTTCTGTCAACTTTAGACAAGTTTAGAGAAGAACTGCTGTCAAGTTTAGAGAAGAACTTCAGACAAGTTCAAAGAAGACCTTTAGATAAGTTCAGAGAAAAACTTCAGACAAGTTCAGAGAAGAACTTCAGTCAAGTTCAGAGAAGACCTTTAAACAAGTTCAGAGAAGAACTTCTGTCAACTTCAGAGAAGATCTTCAGACAAGTTCAGAGAAGAACTTCTGTCAACTTTAGACAAGTTCAGAGACGAACTTCTGTCAACTTTAGACAAGTTTAGAGAAGAACTGCTGTCAAGTTTAGAGAAGAACTTCAGACAAGTTCAGAGAAGACCTGTAAATAAGTTCAAAGAAGAACTTCTGTCAAGTTCAGAGAAGAACTTCAGACAAGTTCAGAGAAAATAAAACATCGGACAAATGCAGAGAAGAACTTCAGACAAGTTCAGAGAGTAATTTCAGTCAACTTCAAAGAAGAACTTCATACAAGTTCAGAGAATAATTTCAGTCAACTTCAAAGAAAAACTTCAGACCAGTTTTGAGAAGAGCTTCATACAAGTTCAGAGAAGATCTTCAGAAAAGTTCAGAGAATTCCTTTAGACAAGTTCAGAGAAGAACTTCAGACAAGCTCAGAGAAAAAAAAATTCGGACAAATGCAGAGAAGAACTTCAGACAAGTTCAGAGAATAATTTCAGTCAACTTCAAAGAAGAACTTCAGACAAGTTCAGAGAATAATTTCAGTCAACTTCAAAGAAGAACTTCAGACAAGTTCAGAGAAGAAATTCAGACAAGTTCAGAGAATAATTTCAGTCAACTTCAAAGAAGAACTTCAGACCAGTTCTGAGAAGAACTTCAGACAAGTTCAGAGAATAATTTTCAGTCAACTTCAAAGAAGAACTTCAGACCAGTTCTGAGAAGAACTTCATACAAGTTCAGAGAAGATCTTCAGACAAGTTCAGAGAATTCCTTTAGACAAGTTCAGAGAAGACCTGTAAATAAGTTCAAAGAAGAACTTCTGTCAAGTTCAGAGAAGAACTTCAGACAAGTTCAGAGAAAATAAAACATAGGACAAATGCAGAGAAGAACTTCAGACAAGTTCAGAGAGTAATTTCAGTCAACTTCAAAGAAGAACTTCATACAAGTTCAGAGAATAATTTCAGTCAACTTCAAAGAAAAACTTCAGACCAGTTTTGAGAAGAACTTCATACAAGTTCAGAGAAGATCTTCAGAAAAGTTCAGAGAATTCCTTTAGACAAGCTCAGAGAAAAAATAAATTCGGACAAATGCAGAGAAGAACTTCAGACAAGTTTAGAGACTAATTTCAGTCAACTTCAAAGAAGAACTTCAGACAAGTTCAGAAAATAATTTCAGTCAACTTCAAAGAAGAACTTCAGACAAGTTCAGAGAAGAAATTCAGACAAGTTCAGAGAATAATTTCAGTCAACTTCAAAGAAGAACTTCAGACAAGTTCAGAGAAGAAATGCAGACAAGTTCAGAGAATAATTTCAGTCAACTTCAGAGAAGAACTTCAGACCAGTTTTGAGAAGAACTTCTTACAAGTTCAGAGAAGATCTTCAGACAAGTTCAGAGAATTCCTTTAGACAAGTTCAGAGAAGAATTTCAGACAAGTACAGAGAAGAACTTCTGACAAGTACAGTGAAGAACTTTAGACAAGTTCTGAGAAGAACTTCTGACAAGTTCAGAGAATAATTTCAGTCAACTTCAAAGAAGAACTTCAGACAAGTTCAGAGAAGAAATTCAGACAAGTTCAGAGAATAATTTCAGTCAACTTCAAAGAAGAACTTCAGACCAGTTCTGAGAAGAACTTCATACAAGACAAGTTCAGAGAATTCCTTTAGACAAGTTCAGAGAAGAACTTCAGACAAGCTCAGAGAAAAAAAAATTCGGACAAATGCAGAGAAGAACTTCAGACAAGTTTAGAGAATAATTTCAGTCAACTTCAAAGAAGAACTTCAGACAAGTTCAGAGAAGAAATTCAGATAAGTTCAGAGAATAATTTCAGTCAACTTCAGAGAAGAACTTCAGACCAGTTTTGAGAAGAACTTCTTACAAGTTCAGAGAAGATCTTCAGACAAGTTCAGAGAATTCCTTTAGACAAGTTCAGAGAAGAATTTCATACAAGTACAGAGAAGAACTTCTGACAAGTACAGTGAAGAACTTTAGACAAGTTCTGAGAAGAACTTCTGACAAGTTCAGAGAAGAACTTCTGTCAAGTTCAGAGAAGAACTTCTGTCAAGTTCAGAGAAGAACTTCAGAAGTTCAGGCAACTCCAATAAACCTAAGTAAGCTTTCAGACAAGTACCAACAAGTTTTGAGATATTTCGGAACCTAAAATAGGTTGGGAGGAAGCGTACCGAAAACTTCAGAGACATCTAAGGAACATAGTAGGCATTCGAGCATTTTGATATCAGCTCTAGGAACTCTACACATGTTCGGAATATTGAGGTTGTTTGCGGATCTTTCGGATCTGGTACAACATCATCTCATTGTCGGCACTGTTTGGCTCGAGCTTTGAAAAATGTTTTGGTTAATTGCATGTAAGCTTGTAATTGTTACAAACTTTGCTTTGATGTAGATGCTCCCGATGCTGCCGATAAAAGCATATCATTCGCATCTGGAAAAACAGAAAACCGAGAACAGAGATGCAAAATATCATGACACTCACTCGACACTCGTCAACGCATCAACCGACTATCGCTGACCGAACGTTTTGTCAAGCAGTGCGAGGAAGAGCCATGGCAAACAACAATCACCAGTAATGGTCGCTGATCACAGGCAAAACGTAACACTCGCTGATGATGATGTAAAGCATAACGAAAGCAGTGAAGACTTCCTGCAGTACGATAATGAGAAAAAGGGAAACGACAGAAGAAAATGCAAACAATGACTGCGCATTCCAAGTTCGACTCGGCACGCATGACTGTGTGAGTTACAAACACAGCTGGTAAAATTAAACGGAAGCTGTTGGGCTTACTCACCAACACACTCACATAAGCAAGCAAAGCAGCAACTGAGCAATTGCTTCAAAATGAGCACAAATGAGTGTCGTGATTGTCGGGAATGACCAGATCGGTGATGGATCAACACCGAAGACGACATTTAACAGTTGCTTTTTACTTCTTTCGTCAACTTGATGGATGGTCATGGAGAGTGCTTCGACAAGCACATTGATAGGAATGTACTAAGCGTTACTACCATCAGCAGTTTGACGATCGTAATTGTGATAGGTCGCAACTCTGGCCGAGAAAACCCCCGTTGAAAATTTATATATCCGTAGACTCTTATGGATGGGACAACCAAGTTTTGTTATTTTTCGCCATATTTCCAGAACAAAACATGTGACTTTTAGTGCACAGTGTAAATTATAGGTAGTTTACAATCGATTCTAATGGATAACTCATTTCTGTTAAATATCCATATGGGACTGTTACGCTTTTATTGGCGGGTAGTATGTACCTAAGTTAGCTTTAGAAGCCATTCTAGACAACAAACATAAACTCAAGTGGTAATCAGGGGTTAACTCCAGTAGTTAAGTAAACAATTATCCATTTTACATTAAGTTTTGTGGAATAATGATCATTTGGTGTAAAAGCTTAAGCTGTCGATTTTGGCAACATGCTCGAAAATTTAGTGTTGCAATAATCGAACCATGCCAACATCGAACAGTTTTATTTTGGAATCTATAGTTTATGATTTCGTTGGTTTTAGATCATCGTGTCATCTCTGACATATTAATAATTTATATCTTTTATTTTAAATTGTACTCACAAGGAGCAACAAAACATTAGTTTCAAACTCCGTTCGACTTTTGGCACGGTACTAAATTAGTTTTTGCCATGTCAAATCGTGTCATCCTTACTGTGATCATCCATAGTAATGGGCTTTATGTATGGAACGTTTCAAATCAATAACTAACTAGGTATTTGGTGACCATTATTACAAGATAACAAAGAATTACAAAGGAACCATCCCGATTCATTCCACCCAGTAGTATAACGCATAAGTTGAACCATTCCATATGTTTAAAAACGAAAAAAAAAGCCATAGTTGTACCCTCCCCCTTGCTTGGTGTTGCATATCCGATTCAATGTTCTTCTTCCGTTTTGCTTTTTCCAGTGCCCGAAATGGATGCATTCCTGCCGCTGGAACCGCTAGACAACGATTACAACTTTTCCCTGGACCATACTGAGGGCGTGTTCGATTTATTCGATTTTAATTTTTAGTTCAAATTTATGTGGGAATATACAATATACGTATATATCTATATTTTTATTTCTATTAAATATTATATTATTATTATTATTATTATTATTATTACTACTACTAGAACTGATCCAGAGAAGATATGCACAGATGGGCTCCTCACTCGACTATGTATCAACACGTATGTATGTTAGGGAAAACACCAGTCGCAACAACTGGCGTTAGGTTAGGTGTGTGGTTAGGGAAGACGTTGCGCATATTTTGTTGATTGTATTTTTTTTTTTTCGTGCTTAACCGCAATCTTCAAGGCAAATTTTCCTTATATGTTGTTCTAGAGAGAAAAGAGGACGCGTTCGGTTTAGAACGTTGGTGTTATTTTTTTTTTCTTACGTTTATCCGTCTTGGACAGAAAGCACTGTGTTAGGAGAATGCAAGAAGGCAAAATGGGAACGTAGATATCTCAGTGTTTATGGAAAGTATTCGATTTAAAAGCGGTAGTCGAACTGGTCTGAACGATTACAGTAGGATTGTTTTTACTAAGTTCTATATATTTTTTTGTAAATATTGTACTGTAAATTATTTAAAAAAGAGAAAACAAAGCGAAACAAAAAAAAATTAAAAGAGACGGCCCACAATTTATCTCGAGAGAATCTATAGTGACCTGACCATTCTTCTCCCAGTTGCAACTGGAACTCCCCTGCTCCCTCGGTCCCTCGTATCAATGCGCTTATAAATGATCAAAACAACCTATCACACAGAGGGAGAAGATTTCGAAAAACCCCCGGGAAGAAAAGGTGAATCGAAGTGGTGGATGAGAATTGGGCACGTGCGCCTCCACCCAGAGGTCATCCACGAAAAAAAACGCCGACATAAATTTACTTAGGCCAATCGTCGAACTCCAGTCTAGTAATAATAGTAGGTACAGTCGTACTAATTGATGGCACACAAAACAAACCAATACGATCGGAGGACGCAAGCAGAGGTCCTCTAGATTTTAAGCAGAAATTCTTAATTTATACATATATTTTTAATAGGGATGTCTAAAAGCTGATGAAAACCAGATACACAAATATTCAACCGAATGGAGGAGAAACACAGTTGTAAACCGTAGCGAAAAGGACCTGTGCAAATCTGATGTTTTTGTTTGCTAAAACTTTCTTCAAAAGTGTCGTGAATTTTTTTTCCGTTCGTTTGGCCTTATTTATTGATTTTTTTTCTTTTTAAACAGTAGACCACCCGCGATCTGCGTTTCCGCGCCACGCGTGTAGGAAACAATCACCTAGAAGAGAAGAGAGAAAAGATTGAATAATACGCTTGTTAGTTTGTCTCCGTTGCCAATTGATTAATTATTATGGAGAGAGAAGAAAAGAATAAATCTTGCAAACAATGTTATTTGAATTTGAACGATTATTTTTTCTGTCTACATGATCAATTAAAGCTGCTGTTGCAGAACAGTGACAGTGAGAGAGAGAGTGAGAGTGAGTGAGCGCCCACGCCAGTCGCGCCTTCACCCCCCCGCACCCATCGATATAGTTTTGTTCCGAGGAAGAACGTGACTTTTCCGTTTGTTAGAATTTAGTTCGCAAAAGTAGGAAACGACACTACTTTCTGCAATCGATGGTTTATTGTGTTTGTAATGACGCTTCCGTCGCTTCGGCAGTGACGGTAATCCACTGGGCAATGATTTCTATTGTTTTTGTTTTCTTTTTATGCATATATAATTGACTTATCCGGGTGTAAATTTGCCTTTTTCCGCTGAATGCGCGTGTGAGATGAGTACGCACGAGAGAAGGATGTTGTAAATATCGAGAGATGATGAGTGGTGGAGTCACAGAAAAGGATGAAAATTGATTGAAAATAACAAGAAAAAAAAAATCTACGCAAAAATAACTACACTACAGTTAACGTACTTTCCACACACTCGGTCTTGCGAAGGCTAGCATTTCTTCTGTGTACCACTCGTGAGATAAAACAATAACAGCAAAACAGAAAAATGAAACAAAATAGAGAAAAATGATTAAAAAACATATCATGCTCGTTTTCTAGAAAGAAATTGCCCTGCCAAAGGAAATTAACGACCACGACTTAAAAAGGAAGGGGTTTATTGATTCTGCCTATCTGGATAAGTGAGACTTTCAACCGGATAATCCAAGATATATACTTTGACTATATGTTTTGTATTGTTTCTGCGTAAAGTCAACGATTTACATAGGGGAAAAGTTGGCTTCGGCAATACCTTAACCTATTATCGTCAGGGGGGTAAACAAAGTCCTAGAGCACTCAAATTTGGCCAATAGTTGCTCTGAAACACAATGTATTCACATGCCAAAATTGAGCTCTGAAGAACGTTGTTTACCCCCTGACGATAATAGGTTAAGGCAGTGCTGTAAATTTTCATATCATTCGATTGAAGATGAACCACTACAACCATTCAATCAATTCTGTGTAAACGAATTCTCACATGAACATAATTTGAAGAGCCCCTTTCTCATTCGAAGCTCATAGTCACTGTCAATTGAGTCACTCAGTATCATTTGATATACGACAGTGGAGTATGGAAGAAATCCAGGAAAATAGTCCCGAACAGACAAGTCGACCCGATGTCGGAATAATGTAAGGCTAATTTAAGGTCGATGTCGACCCAATGTCGGGTCAATTTTGGGTTTATGTCGGGTCAACATCGGGTTGGGGTTTGATAGAAGTCAGGTTGGTGTCGGGTTGGCTTAGCTTTTTCGCCGGAATGTCAACCAGAGCTCCGTTTGTGTGTAGGTTACACTCAATCGAATGATATATAGCGTTTCTCAAATGAGAATGATCCATGCCTTCGTCAAATGACTAAGCAACTGATATCACCCATTCGGAGGAGGTCCCCTTTGATAGCGAATAGCTACTTTTCTCATTTTCATCAAAAATGTTCAAATGATTTTGAGAATTTACAGCACTGGGTTAAGGTATTGCCGAAGCCAACTTTTCCCCTAGTTGAAGATGCTAATTTCAAATAACAGACTAAAGTGGTAATTTTTGTACGATAGATGAGGAGATTAAAAGTATAGAGTTGATAGTTCCGTTAGAGTACGGCAGTGTGAAAATTGTACATAGAGAGTAGAAAGCGAGCAAGGACAACTTTTTAGGAAGGTACAAATCGGTTTGATCATCTCTCTTAACTAAACTCCCCCGTTGGAGAGGGATGGTGGGGGTGGGGGGTATTCTCCCCCGCCACCACTGGCAAAGTTTGGTGAAGAGAGATGATCAAACCGATTTGTACCTTCATAAAAAGTTGTCCTTGCTCGCTTTCTACTCTCTATATACAATGTTCACACTGCCGTACCATAGAGGTAACTCTAAGACCACTGGGTCCCGAAGAAAATCATTATTATTTTTGGCTCACTCAGTACCAGAACAACGGTCCCAAGCAGTCCCAAGCTATTTCACTCACCCCTGCATGTTCTGCATGAATCCACACACCCCTGATGTTATCTGTCAAACTTTCATAGCGAATCAAAACAAACATAGTGTAGTAATAGAATTTCAACTAGAATAGGGTACGTTAATCGTTTGCTTGGGACCAATAGGCTACTAAAGTGGTGAGCCAATTTAAAATCGTTAGTTTCGTATTGATTGTTGGCCGTACTCTAGCGGAACTATCAACTGTATACGGAACGGAAATATCAACTCTGGATGGGAGCTTACCATCAATTACTGTTATTGGACGAAAGGTATAGTAGCAGCACCTACCCTACCCATGTCCCTTCGAGATCGTCAAATCGACGATGACAGAAGCACATACCGTGGTAGAGGTAACAATAGCTGCAATTTCCAAACCTACGACTGGATGCCTTCCTTCAGATAACAACTTGAGTGCGGTAAAATCGATAGAACTGTTTCAAACAAATTGTCGGTACATGAGCGAGTCGGCGATCATCTCTTTTTGCCAGTGGTGGCGGGGGGAATAACCCTCACCATCCCTCTCCAACGGGGGAGTTTGGTAAAGAGAGATGATCAACGCGATTTGTACCTTCCTAAAAAGTTGTCCTTGCTCGTTTTCTACTCTCTATATGGCTTTTGATCTAATTTCCGTCCTACTAAGCACAACCTGCGCTTTACCTCTCTTTTTTAAACGGATTTGATCAAAACATGGAATATTTCTGTGATAGATGACTTCTAAATTTATTCACCTTTGATTTGAAAAAGAGTCACAAATTGTTGAGATATTGTTAAAAATCTACTACTGCTTCTTGATTCTAAATTCGTTCTACGAGTTTCAATTCCATCCTAACGCATTGAAACGCCATTAGATTTTCTTCGTCCTACGGATAAACGTAGAAAAGGGGGATTCGCTAGGTGCGCTCCTTTTCTTTTGAGAACAATGAGCGTAAATATTCATACAATGCGCTCAAATAGGATTTATGTTGTAACTAATGAACTAAAGCAGCGGAACAAACCTATTATTAATTTGTGCTCGGTAAAATCATTGATATTATTGATCTTTTCTGATCGATAGAACGGAAATGGGCGATTACGACGAAGTAGCGCTCTACCCTATACCATTTTCACACTGCCGTACTCTAACGGAACTATCAACTCTTTACTTTCATCTCCTCATCTATCGTATAAAAATTACCACTTTAGTCTGTTATTTGAAATTATCATCTTCAACTAAACAAGACATATATTTTTTTTTTAATTTCACGATCATTTTAAAAAAAGCTCTACTTTAAACAGTCAAAAGTTAGAGTCACTCTTCTTAACGCGGTATCAAACGGGATCATCATGTTCCGGAGATCAATTACACCCATCGCTTTTTCTCGGCTGTCCTTCAACTAGTTGTCTACCATAAGTCACGTACAGAAAATCAGCTCAATCGGTTGGAAAACAGCCAAGAAATAGCGGCGGGTGGACGGCACCACCCACCGTGCTCTTCAGGGTGTGTATTTGTATGTAATTTGTTAACTGCTGCTCTTCGCGTGTCCGTCCCATAGCAGAAAAATCTAGAAAATCGCGTTTTAAGGCAACTTCGTACCATTGCTTCTTATGTGATGGGACAACCAATTTGGCTGTCTTTCCAAACTTTTTCAGAACCAAGTTGTTGAGTTCATTTAGTACTATGAAAAAATGGATGATCAGCTACCATTTCCATTGAAAAACTCAGTTTTGACAAAAACGATTATGGGACCGACTTGCGAAAAGCGGCAGTTCAGTGTACATGCAGCTTTCTAGAAAACCATTGTCGAGTTTTCCCGAAAATTGCGACATTTATACTCTTTTTCAAATTTGAGCTGGCGTTTTAAGATGCAGCGCAGTTTTGCCGCCCTTTTAACCCAAGCACTCGCCATTCCCGCCAAATTATTTCCAATAGGATTGTATAACTGCGTCGAGTCTCGCAATGCATTGTAGAAGCAAAATTGTACCTGGTGTATCAAATTATAACAGTTTTCTTATTTCTAGGTTCGTATCGTGGATAAGCTTAACATTGTATATATGGTATATATACCATCATCTTTTCTCAGAATATTACGGACAGAAGCATAAAACCTATTTGCAGGTTTGCTAATTATTTTGATGAATCCTACACAGGGAATGTAAGATTCTATTACAGATTTGTTTTAATGATTCCCAAAATCCTTTGCACATACAGATTATCACTCATGTTTTCGTATATGGGTGTATGTAATCAAACCAAGTCACAACATATACAGGGTGGCCAGTAGACTGATGCAAAATTTGAAATTTCCGCTCCACAGTGCTCAAACGGTTCCAAATTGGGCCCTGATTAGCCTCCCAAAATTTGAACTAATTTAGTGAGAAACAGACTTGAAGTTTATATGGGAATTATTATGGAGAAACCATAATTTCGGTTCATATCCATCTCAAAATTCACCAGTTCACTCTTTTTTTATTTTGATAGCTGAGCTAGTTGAACATTTTCTCAGCTACAACTTTGTTGAAGACTACTTTTTGATCAAATGTAAGGAACAAAAATTATTAATGATTCAAGTCACTGATGTCTTATGATTATGCTCAATCAACTGTTCAACAGGCAACATTGGTATTTATGGCGCGTAGAATAGAGGACAAAAATCATGGCTACTATGTCACACTGCAGAATACAGTGTTGCCCACAAAACAGTTGCTGAATCTTGCCATAAGATAATCAATCTCTTAAACAATTAATAACTATTTAATTTGACGTTTGACTGAAAAACGATTTTCTGCAAAGTTGTAGCTGATAAAAATTCCAATAAGAATAGCAATAGAATTTGTTAACAGTATAATATGTAAAAAGGCTAGAAGACAATGAACACAAAGTTTTGTTTTCCCATAGTAATTTCCATATAAACTTCAAATGGTTTGTGCCAAGTCAGTTTCTTATCAAATGAGTTTAAACTTTCGGAGGCTAATCAGGACCCGATTTGAAACCGTTTGAACACTGTGGTGCGAAAATTTCAAATTTTGCATCAGTCTAGTGGCCAGCGAACCGGGAATACCGGGAAATATCCGCACTCAGAATAATTTTCACGTCAATGCTACGTGAAAACATACGTAGATTTTTTCCATCGTACTTTTCACATAAGAGCTACGTGATTCTCATGTAGGGTAACTCATTTCACGAAGCTTAACCGTCATAGGGTTATCACATAGAAGTTACGTGATTTGGTCGGTAACATTCATTGGAAGATTCTAGTATCAATATTTTGACACTGTTTATACAAATATTTCCTTAATCTGTAGATACAATCTTTATCGTATTCATAGTAGTAAAATATAATAATATTCCTTTAATTTATTGATATATGCTAAATTCACCACATCAGATTTTTTTTTTAAATTCTCGATACGAAGCACAAACA